GGAACTCAGAAGGAAATGAGAAACAAAAATGCAGAGTATACTGGAAAAAAAATATGGGGTTACCTTTACACATGTATATGCAATCGTATATTTAAATGTAATTTTTTAAAAAGAAAAAGTTGAAATTAAAAATAAAATTCTCCCAATCTGGCCCTCCCTTTTCTTTATTCTCCTTGCAGTTCACCTTGTGAGTCTGACTCATAGCGTCTCCACCAAAAAAAAATACTGACCAACTCCCTCCATAGTTAGCCCTTGAACAACAGGCATCTCGACTTCAGGGCCCCACTTACACATGGGTTCTTGTCCATAAACACAAGATAGTACTGTAAATAGATTCTTGTCTTCTTATGATTTTCTTAACATTTTATTTTCTCTAGCTTTATTACAATAATACAGTATATAATACATATAACATATAAATATGTGTTGTCGATGTGATAAGTCAGACTTCTGGTCAATAGCAGATTATTAGTAGTCAGTTTTGGGGACGTTAAAAGTTGTATGTAGATTTCCGACTGCTTGGGGAGTCAGTGTCCCTAACCTCCAGGATGTTCAAGTGTCAGCTGTAGAGTTGATACATATTAGTTTTTTTCTCTTCCAAAGGGTCAAGAAACTTCACAGTCTAAGTGTTGTTGTTGTTTTATTTTAAGTAATCTCCGCACCCTATGTGGGCCTCAAACCCACCACCCCAAGATCAAGAGTCGCATGCCCTTCCAACTGAGCCAGCCAGGTGCCCCTCCAAATCTAAGTTTCTAATCTTCTCACTAGCCCTGAAAGGTAGATAGAATTTTATTAAGTATTACATTTCAGGGAATAAGGTGTCCCTTCGAAAGAAAGGATGCTTATGGAAGATGTCTTTCTTTTTAAAGTAAAAATGTGATTCGATGTTTATTTTTAAAAAATTATTAGTGAGAAATGGCAGAAACTGTGTACTGGAAAGTTACTGTCAGTTGGGGGAAATTAGATAAAATTTTATTAAAGAGCATACATCTGAATTGTGCTTTGTCATATATAAACATGAGCTCAGAGAAGCAGGGCTTAAGATAGCTCATGGCTACATAGTCTTCTTTATTTACAAAATTTTATTTTACTGTATAGTAAAACCTTGACTATACTGCTGGGGGAGTAGCAGCTCTAATTACTTTGTCAGAGCAATAGAATTAAGTGAGTGATTATTTTTATTTTATCTTCAATTGAATACCTTTTATTTATTTATTTATTTATTTTTAAAGATTTTATTTATTTATTTGAGAGAGTGAGAATGAGAGAGAGAGAGAGAGCACATGAGAGGGGGGAGGGTCAGAGGGAGAAACAGACTCCCCGCTGAGCAGCAGGGAGCCCGATGCGGGACTCGATCCTGGGACTCCAGGATCATGACCTGAGCCGAAGGCAGTCGCTTAACCAACTGAGCCACCCAGGCGCCCTTTATTTATTTATTTTTAGGGGGGATACTTTTTTTTTCATTTTTTTTTTTAAATTTAAATTCAGTTAGCCAACATGTAATACATCATTAGTTTTTGCAATTGAATACCTTTTAAAGATGCACCTATACTTTGCCTATTTTGTTAAGTTTACTATCTGAGGATAATTTAAGGCTTTCATTGTACTGTAGGTTAAGAAAGTGTAACGGTAGAGGAGGGCAGTCACTGCTTGGTTTTTATTTATTTGCTTTTTTCCAAGATTTGTGGCAGCAGCATGATGGATATAGCTCCATTGTGTGTACAGCACCCATCACTCACAGGCTTGCCTGTGCCTTATAAGAATGTTTAAATGCAGATTTCCTGGGTGAACATATTCCTGGAAAGTGTCATCTGAGATAATGAGTGATCACCATTTTCCAAACTTGATAAACGTACTGAACTTCTTTAAAAGCAGTGTTCTCAACCTTGGCAAAACATCAGAGCCATCCGGAAGCTTTAAAAACTGCTGACATCTGCGTTCTACTCTGAGAGATTGTGCGGGATAGAGTGGCAGCCCTGGCTTTGGAAGTTTTTAAAACTTCTTTGCAGGTAATTCTGATGAAACAGTCAAGACTGAGAACCACTGTTTTAAAGGAACAATATTCCCTATGTACCCCCCCAACACACACCATATTGATTTAAATTATGTTTATTATGATAGTGTTTAAATATGTACAAACTGACAGCAGGTTGAAATTCCTTCTGGGTGTGTAGTTGTATATAAAACACATTTATAAATGAAAAACCTCAAAATCAGTAAATTCAAAACTACAATATATATATGGATGATATTTTCCTGAGGCTTTTGTGCATGCTGGTCCTTCTGTTTAGTCTTTCCCACCTGTATCAGCCTGGGCCCAGGCAGGCGATAAAAGCACACGGTAATGTAAACAGGGAAAGTTTCTTACAAAGAATAAATAGTTAAGCTGTGATAGAAGAGTCACTGCAGAAACTGTGGGATCTAGGGCTGAGGGAGAGTCCCAGAGGAAGGCTGGGGTTCAGACTCGCTGAAGAAGGTGGAGTTGCAGAGCACCTCCGTGACTTGCCCATGTCAGCGAGCCTGCAGTTGCCGGGCAGCAGGAAGCAGTCTTCCAGAGCACAGCACTGGCTCAGGAAAGCCACAGTCAGTGGCCGGTCACAGGGCCACACAGGCAGCAGGCAGTGGGTCTCTGGGGGCAGCCCTCCTGGTGGCAAGCTGCAGCTGATGGTCAGCCACGTGGATGTGCTGCGGAAGTAGAAGTATCAGCGCAGAAGGAGGTGTGGGGCACGCAGGGTCCCAGTCGGGAGGGCTGTGTCATCAGCAGGACCACAGGAGATGAGTGTAGGGGTAGGGCAAGCAGCAGGAGGTCCGGAGCACAGAGTGTCTGTTGAAAGGGTCGCGGGCAGATGACACTAGACCATGTGGCGCAAGGTTGTTGAGGGACCGCCCTTTCTGGCCCATGGCTGGAGTCATCACTGGTGTCCTCACAGCTCCATGCTCAGTTGTGCTCCCTGGAAAGGAGAAAGACTTAAAGAACTTCCCATTTACTGCAGAGCGTGTGTTGAAGGTTGAATTTGGAGTTGCCCAGCAGTAAATTGGTATCTGACCCACACCACCCTGTGCCAGCGAAATGCTCATGCAGTGTTCGAGCCCCAGCTTACCAGCTGCCTTGACCCTTCTAAGTACTGTTGCTCTGTGCTGTGCTCCCGCGCATCCTTACAGTAGCTCACTGTGCTGTGTAGGAATCTTTGTTTAAAAACTAATTGCTCTTGGGGTGCCTGGATGGGTCAGTTGGTTAAGCGTCTGACTCTTGATTTCAGCCCAGGTCATGATCTCAGAGTCTTGAGATCAAGCCCCGCATTGGGCTCCACACTGAGCATGAAACCTGCTTAAGATTCTCTCTCTCTCTCTCTCCTTCTGCCTCTCCCCCCACCCCAATGCTCACTCTCTCTCTCTCTCTAAAAAAAAATAAACAAATAAAATTAATTGCTCTTTGAGACACCTGGGTGGCTCAGTTGTTTAAGCATCCGACTCTTGATCGCAGCTCAAGTCTTGATATCAGGCGTGAGTTCAAGCTCTGTGTTGGACTCCACGCTGGTCGTGGAGCCTACTTAAAAAAAATTGCTCTTTCAAACAAACATATCATGTAGGAATCTTTATTTAAAAAATAATTGCTTTCTCTTGGCAAGGATGCCCATTCCCACTGTTGGTGGGAATGCAAACTGGTGCGGCCACTCTGGAAGACGGTGTGGGGGTTCCCCAAAAAGTTAAAAATAGAACTACTGTGCCATCCAGCAATTGCACTACTAGGTATTTACTCAAATACTAGTTTGAAGGGTCACATGCACCCTGATGTTTATAGCAGCATTTTTAGTAGTAGCCAAACCATGGAAAGAGCCCAAATGTCCGTTGAATAAAGAAGTTGCAATGTGTGTACACACACACGCGCACACACACACACACTATGGAATATTACTCAGCCATCAAAAAGAATGAAATCTTGTCATTTGCAACGACGTGGATGGAGCTAGAATATTATGCTAAGCAAAATAAGTCAGAGAAAGACAAATCCCTTGTGATTTCAAGAAACAGATGAACATGGGGTGGGTGGGGGGAAGAGAGGCAAACCAAGAAACAGACTCTTAACTATAGAAAACAAACTGAGGGTTGCTGGAGGGAGGTGGCAGGGGGGTGGGTTAAATGGGTGTTGGGGATTAAGGAGGGCACATGCTATGATGAACACCAGGTTTTGTATGTAAGTGCTGAACCACTAAATCCTACACCTAAAATTAGTATTATACTGTGTGTGAACTAACGAATTTAAATTAAAACTTTGGGGGGAAAAATCTAAAAAAAAAATAATTGGTTTTTCAAGCAAACATATAATTATAGAATGCTTGAGAATCACCTCCAAAGATTCTGATTTGGTTGGGCTAGGGCAGAACCCAGGAATCTTTGGGTTTTTTTTTAAAGATTTTATTTATTTATTTGACAGTATGACATAGTGAGAGAGGGAACACAAGCAAGGGGAGCAGAAGAGGGAGAAGCAGGCTTCCTGCGGAGCAGGGAGCCCGATGCGGGGCTCGATCCCAGGACCCTTGGATCATGACCTGAGCCGAAGGCAGACGCTTAACGCCTGAGCCACCCAGGCGCCCCAGGAATCTGTGTTTTTACTAGGTGGTGGAGGATGCTGACATTGTGGCCCCTGAGACCACAAGGAGGATGTGGGTCTGGGGCTGGACTGCAGGGACAGTGCCTTACTCCTTTTTGCCCCCTCATTGCCTAACTCGCTCCCTGCTACAAGCATGGTGTTCGACACGTGGGCGGAATGAGCGACTCCGGAGCACAGAAGTGGTGGCCCTAGAGAAGTGCCCCACGTTTCTTGCCCCTTCTCGGAGTGCCCTTTCGAGTACTGTGCTCGAAACTCAACCTGACCTAAAACTTCCTGCAGCTAATGCTTTTTCGTTGCTTGATTTTAAATGGACCTTATGCCAATGCCACCTTTCTTTGTTTCATAGGGAGAAAGAACAAGAAACACAAAAAGAGGAACGTTTGATGGAAGAAAAGAAAAAGAAAAAGCAGGAAGAAAAGAAAAAGAAGGAAGGTGCTCAGAAAAAGGTTTGGCTGGCATTCCTACTTCACTGCCTGTGATCATTGTGTGTCTCATTTGCATTGTCACAGCCATTATGTTAGAGTTCCATTTTATGACCTCAAAATATCTATGTGCTAAAGCTATAATTAGCAAAAAATAGATGTTGTGCTAGTGAAATAAATACAGAGTGACAGCCACAGAATGTCTGTCTTAAGGAACTAGAAATAGTAGAGCTGTGTTTTAAAGAAGCCTGATTTTCGTTGTTGGTGATAAAGAATGTCCATGCTATTCCACTTACCGCGAACTGTCGAGAACAACCATGTCTGAGAAATGAGGAAAAGGGCCATGTAACTGATTTTATTAGGAGAGCTAGAAATAATTTTTTCAGGTTTGGCAAATGTTCTTTTATAAATCCTATTATTATTAAAAATTAAAAGTCCTTCTGTAAATCTTACCGTCTCACTTAAATCTTACCGCATTTAGTATACCAAGTTAGGCCATTTTTTGTTGGTCTTGCCTAGTGTAACATACTTTGTAATTTAAACTGTGTACCTTTTAGTTTATATTAAAATACAGAGCTCTGTTGAGCTTCCAGATAGGTTTTTTTTTTTTTGCCTTTAGAGCAATATCAGCATATAATAGCATGTAGACAATTATACATTTTCCCTGTAATAAATTTTAATAAATTGGGCAAAAACTTGTTTTTAATAAAATTTCCAGTATTAAAGTCTGCTTATAAACTTTCATAGATTTGCACATTCTACACATTATTATTCCTAAAGAGTTTCTGATTTTTTTTTTTTCAGGCTGCTGATCAAAAAACCAAAGGTAAGTTTATTTTATTTGGGGGTGGTACATTGTATGGCAGCACCACACTTTTTGTGATGAAGATGACTTTTATTTTAATTGATAGTTAAAAACAAAGAATCTAACCCTGGCTTTGAACCTTTTGAATCTTCTTTTTATTATTCACTGTGCATTTCTTCATTTATCACTGGTTTCACATCTGCATTTCATTGGCATTGGTTTAATCTAAAATGCCTAAAGAATGTTATGTTTGCTTTCTGAACAATGCTTTTTACTTTTCCTTTGCTTTGCTTTCCACCAAACAAGGACTAAACTGATAAAGGTGATCCAATTTGAATAAGAACAGCCAAAAGATACTGAATTTTTTTGAAGCTTCCAATTCTCTTTGCCGACTGTATAACAAAAAGAGGTATATTCTTTCTGTATTCCCTCTTTGCTTATTGATATGTAGAAGTTTTTTTTTTTATTTTCTAAGTCAAAAATTTACTTGTTTAGTGTCTTAGTGGGTGTTGGAAACACAAGTAGTTCCCCCAGTAACAGACGTGTCCCTGGGGTTTGCTGGAGAAGGGGCACAATGGAAGCAGCATTGGGAGCTTCTTCACCCTGTGCTTGCCTTGAGCAGGGGCTGTGCAGGGAGAAGGGGCATGTGCTCAGGAGCCATGTCCACCAGCTCTGTTAAATCTGGGGCCAGTTACTTGATTTTTCCAAGCCGCAAGTATCTCCTACTGAAAATGAGAAAGCTGGTGAGTGGGTGGCTCCCCCCTCAATAAAGCTCCTGTGAAGATTAAATAAGATCATGTATGAAAAGGGCTTGGTGCCCAACACTTAGTTAGTGCTCAGTAAAAGTGAGCTAGAATTAATTGTTAGGATTTTCCAGATTCTGTTGGATGCATATACACATTGTACGTGCAGGCACAAGTGCTATAAAGACTTGCCAGCATGCTGTTTTGGGTGGTACCACTGCTAATACTCTACTTTGGTTTGGCATCTTAGAGTTTCCAAAGTAAAGTTTATGTATAGGACATCATTCGAACTTCATAACTGAGCAGGGCAGGTGTTAGGTGACCGTGAAGAAACTGAAGCTGACGCTCGAGTTAAGTGGCTTGAACCGGACCTTCTGACCCCTGCGCAGTGGGCCTCCAGGTGCCGGCACCAGGGTCACAGTAAGATGGGATTTCGTGTAAAGTAAATATTAAAAGGCAGCCCAGTTCCCAGAAAGGACATTTGTCTCTCACTCTCAGAAGCAGTATGAATGTATAGCACACTTTTTCAGAAGGTCCAGAGGGTTGTGGTACATAGTTGTATTAGCAGTTATGATCTTGAGTAAGGAAGAATGGTTTCTTCCACTTGCATTTAAAACTACAGGATTGTTGTTCTGAGTCATTTATTTCCTTTTTTTTTTTTTTTTTGTCAACATTCTGAGAGCTATTCGGGGTCTTTTCTGCTTCCATACAAATTTTAGGATTATTTGCTCCATTTCTTTGAAAAAAGTGGATGGTTGTTCTGAGTCATTTATTTCCTCTTTTTTTTTTTTTTTTGTCAACATTCTGAGAAGTTTTTATAACCTGATTCAATACCAGCCGTATTCTGTTGTCATTGTCAATGTTTTCTCTTTGCTTATGGTCGTATAATGATATGTAAATTACACTTACACACTACACAGAATTACTATTTCCCATTACTGTTCTGATGAGCATTTCCTTGCTCACTCCAAAGTCTACTGGTGTTTTCTCTTCTTTTATCTTCTCTAAATTACTGCTCCTTTGGGTCCAATTTGTCATCAGCTGTACTAACTATAACTAGCCGTAGCACACATAATAATAATGATTATTAATGGTCGTAAACAGAAAAAAAATCTTTCTAATTATAAATAATCTAACAGTGCTGCTAGATAATTCATTAATGAATATTAGCAGTATCAAGGTTTAAATTTTTCTCAGATGCTCCATTATTACTGGGTCGAATCAAAATTAACTGCCTGAAGGAAGGTGGTTCTGAATTTCTGACTGGACGTGTGTGTTGGACAACACAGGCTGGGCCTGCTGCTTCCCTTAATTAACACTCCCCCATCACCTGCCCCTCAAAGAGCTGCACTGAGCAATTTGAAAGCCTTTGTATGAGCCTTTCCACACAAAAAAAATAGTTTCTTGTAATTTCTGTTAAACATTGTCTTTGCATCATCAGTGACTCAAGAAAGAGGTAGCTGAGCACAATTACTTGTTACGCCTTTAGTGAGACTCGAGATGCTCTCACAGTCGCAGGAAGGCAATCAGACGTAATCTCACCTATATATTATATTTGTGCTGTGGAGGACCTTGTATCTGAGTGTTGGACACTGTATAATGGGTTTTGCTTCGGTAATCAGTAATCTCTTTCCTTTATTTTGGGCACTGTCCTTAATTTGGGCACAGATAATAGTAGCTTTATATGTGATGTGATGACTATGAGCCTAAATTTTCCATATTGTTTTCTGGGTTTTTTATGGATTTAATTTTTTTTAAGGATTAATTATAATACCCATAAACGTGAAGTAATTTAATTCATTGGTTTTGGCCAGATTTTCTAAAGTTCACGAAATAGAAAGGTAAGTTTTCATACAAAAAGCTCAAAGTTAATTATATCATGTATGGAAGTGAGTATCTTGGTGACCCAATATGTCTCAAACTCTATATGATTAATGCTTTATGATTTTGAGTCATATACTTTTATAAATTCATACATTATGATTTGTCTCCTAATCTTGCTTGAAAGGACTATAATTTAAGTTTTGCAGTTGGGTATTCAACTTTGTCATGCATTCAATTTGTAATGCTAATTTTAAGAAAATCTTTATGTGCTTTTGTTAATGTAAATCAGTTGAAACCATATTCTTTCAGTAGCCTTACATTGAGTGATAAAGGTTTTGGGGTCACAGATTATTTGCACTGTGCTGTATTCCTGTTAAGGCTCATTCTATACATGGTTTTCTCAGTATGAATGAAGGTGAGCATTGAAGTTTAAAGGGTGCCTTCCCAATTTCATAGTCAGATCTAGATACGAACAAATACAAGTGAGAACCCACTTCTCTGTACTTCGCCAGTTAGGTGGCACTTTTTTTTTTAGCAGAGTTGGCTGAGTGCTATTTGCTCAGTCGTGAGCTGTTTGCTCAACACAATATTCAGCAGTTAATTTTTATAAGGCATCACATCTCCTAAATTACACTGTGTAATAAAGTTGGCCAGGGGGCGCCTGGGTGGCTCAGTCGTTAAGCGTCTGCCTTCGGCTCAGGTCATGATCCCAGGGTCCTGGGATCGAGTCCCACATCAGGCTCCCTGCTCGGCGGGAAGCCTGCTTCTCCCTCTCCCACTCCCCCTGCTTGTGTTCCCACTCTTGCTGTGTCTCTCTCTGTCAAATAAATAAATAAAATCTTTAAAAAAAAAAAAAAGTTGGCCAGATTCCTTGAGTTTACGTGTATCCATGTTCACATCCACATAACCAAAACAAGTATTGAGTATATGAGTTAACCCTTAGAAGCAATAGCTAGAAGTCTAGTTAATGTGCTTTACACAGTATATTTTATAATATATGGCATTTTGTTTGCCTGTCTGAAAAATTAATAAAATCTTAGCGTTTGAAGCATTCTTAGAGGTTCCCCAGTTCCTTCATCGGTTTGGAAATGAGACTCAGAGAGGTTGAACAGTTTACACAAGTTTTGACGGCTCCAGCTAGCAGCACAGCTGGAACCCTTGTCCTGCAGCTGTCTCACATATACGTTTTGTCTGCTGCCGCGTGAAGGACACGTCAGCATGGTATATCCGTTATCAGTGTAATCATCCATTTTAGGAAGTAACTTTTAGGACCTTTTCAAATAAGGCTGAAAGAAATTCCTAAGAGATCCATTATGTGAATTCTTTATGGGATGGTATCTTATAGGATTTTAAATATTAGATGTCTTTCTGTAGCCATGTTGCTCTATGTTTGAAGTAATTATTTAATTTTACTGTTAAATCGCTGACGGAAAGAAGATATAATACATTAATATTTTTTCTATGGGAACAAAAGAAAGTATATTAAGATGTGGTATTTTTCCCCTAACACATAGGCAACTTAAAAGGATAAAAATTATTGGAAAAAGAAAACAGCTAAGCAGGTACATGCATATAAATTCTTCATCAAATTTTAGAAGGAAGGAAGTATAAATCCACTGGGGGCAGGGAGGCGGCACAGTGCTCCTGTTACAAGCCCTTTAACAGCATCTTTTTTTTTTTCTTTTTAAGATTTTACTTATTTATTTGACAGAGAGAGACCCAGCAAGAGAGGGAACACAAGCAGGGGGAGTGGGAGAGGGAGAAGCAGGCTTCCCGCTAAGCAGGGAGCCCGATGCGGGACTCGATCCCAGGACCCTGGGATCATGACCTGAGCCGAAGGCAGGTGTCCAACGACTGAGCCACCCAGGCGCCCAAACAGCATCTTCTTTTATTTTTTTTTAAGGATTTTGTTGGAGGGAGAAAAGTTTTTTTGTTTTTTTTTTTAAGTACTGTCTACATCCAATGTGGGACTTGAACTTACCCCGACATCAAGATCCACATACTCCCAACAACTGAGCCAGCCAGGTGCCCCTGAAGTTGGATTTTTAAAATTCATTTTTCTTTTTTTTATTGAGGAGTAATTTATAGTCAGAAACATACAGGTTATTATCTGCACAATTCAGGTATAAATATAAAAGTTGGCATAAATAAGTGGAGTAGAGTACATTGTTTTGTGTCCAACTTCAGATAACTCAATAACCCAAGGTGGGTGTCAAGCTTAAGGGATCTCTTTTTATTTTGTTTTATTTTTTTGTTATTAACATATAATGTATTATTTGTTTCAGGGATACAGGTCTGTGATACATCAGTCTTACACAGTTCACAGTGCTCACCGCAACACATACCCTCCCCAATGTCCCATCACCCAGCCATTCCATCCCTCCCACCTCCCTCTACTCCAGCAGCCCTTACTTTGTTTCCTGAGATTAAGAGTCTCTTATGGTTTGTCTCCCT